GACACATAACCGTGATTGGAATGATCGAAAAAGAGCTAACTCTGGAAAAGAAACAAACAGTGATGTGTAAGCAAATGTGGCGAGAAAGTTAATCGGAAAAATGGTGGTACGAAGTATTTGCATGAAAATCTCACATACTTGAACTTCGTCATCACGTCGTATCGGAATCGATCTAACGTTATACTTTTGCCGCAATTCTCTACTCAACGGCGATGACATAATTTTCCTTCGAATATGCGACGGGGCTGTAAAATGTCGCTTTCGTGCCTTTCGCCTGGAACTCGATATAAATTTGTTGAACTTCATCGTGGAATCTAGAAACTGAAGGATAGCACATCTGCAAAGTCACGTTAAGAATATTAAAATCGATTTAATCTGTATCATTGTCACGTCTTGCTCCGAACAGATCTTTGCTGCTAGATTTGTAATGTTCAACATTCAGTATTTTTACAACGAATTGTAAGTGAAAGACGCCATACTTCTGTAATCTAGTAGTTAAATTCTATGTGGCAGATCCTACATCAATGTAGCAATGATCAACTGTATCAGGTAACCCTCGAAAGTACACGATAAGGTGAACAAGACGAATCATAGCACTTCCTGTCTTCAGACTATACTTAATCAGACATATAATGCAATTATGATAGAAAACTTCAAATATAACACTATGCCATGCTTCCTCAACGTCAACAACCCTACGAAACTGGGAAGGTTTAACTGAACTGTGTCGCATTAGCGACTACCGCTTCTAACCAAATTTTCACGATACGATTGTTCTACACATCGATATCCTGACAAAATACGAACATTGAAACTTTAATACCACTTTTTTAATGATCATTCATACGAAATTAATATTATCACGGCATTATCAATGGATCGAAAACTTGTCTGAAGTATTTGGATTTCAAGTTTGATCAAGCATAATTCAGAAAATGGAATGACACGCATTCACATACCGTAACCCACTACATACAGTTTTACTGTGCAAAAGGAACCTGACGTCTATTTTGCTCAATATTATGGTGCACACGAATGGAAGTATCATAGGCGGAGTCTATGCGATATTCAGCAAATTAGATTCCAAAAATAACTACTAATGAAATAACAGTTAAAATTGAAGCTATCCTTTACCCTGCACCTGTTGCTGATCTATAACCATGTAGGATGGGCACAAGTGAAATAAAAGAACCACTCAGACTGGTTATCTATTGTTCGGACCTGCTGACATATTAAAACGTCGTCGTTTTTATCGTCAGTGACCGCTTCTCCTTTCGGGTCGCGGAGGCGGACATATTAGACAATACCTACAACGTTCCCGATACTGTGACAGAGGCTGAGCTTCGGCGGAGGACAGCCGTAGTCTAAAGAACACTCCTTCCATATATTTACAGCAATAAAATATTGAAGCTCCTAACATAATTAAGTCAAAACTTCAAATAGCAGCACATGCAAGACAAAAAATCATTTTTCGGCAAAAAACAGAAACTGCGGAGGAACAGCAGCGGAAGTGCAAAACCAGAAATTGTTTTAAAAAAATAAGCAAACCGAAAGAACAAGCAGGATCAGGACAAAGTAAAATATATAACACACAGCGGAAAGGAGAGTAACTTAAGGAAAAACCTAGAAGATTAAAGAGCAAGGTAACGCCACAGACGTAGCAAAACGGTGTTTACAGATATCAATTGAGACACAGAGCGTTCAAGAGAGAACATGCAGAACGGAACGCGTCGTAGGTTGAACAAGCAACTGCTTACTTTGTTGAGTGGACTGATCAAGTATGACAGGTTAGCGGCTGGAGTAAACAGTAATGGAAAGAAAACATAATAACGGAAATAATTGATGAGGGCGTACACGAAGAAAACCTTATGGAAAGTGACAATAGAAAGCAAGATAGTAACACATCTTACGCAGCAATACCCATTTTAAAGTTCGAAAGTGAACAATAATGAGGCAAAAAAATCTACGGACAACAAGCAACCTCTTACGGTGAGGAACAGAACATACGTAATAAGATGGCAGTCGCAAGAAACAAGAATAAAACCGTCATACGATGATGCATGTAGTGGTAAGGGTTACAATCAGAAGGTAAAGAAAAATGAAAGAAAAGAATGCAAAACAACAATCTGCAGATAACGATGAAATCTGGCGGATCCGAACCAGGCATCTCCGGAATCGAAGTGGAAGCAGCAAACAAGATTGATTCTAGAGCTAGTACAAAGGATAAACAGTGGAAAACGCTTGGAACAGCGTCAAACCAATTTAAAAATAAACCAAAGCAAAAGACATGAGAAGCATAATCAAACAACCCGCAATGCATGCGAAAACAGTCTACTTACCGGGCGGAATAGCACACTTTGAATTGAAATCGCAGACCGGGTGGGAACTGTAACATCAGTATTGAAACGGTTGTCAATGATTACGTAAAGTTAATTAACAGATTTGCATGCCACTGTTGCTGGTTAGAATATATTAGCACTGACTTTCGTCAATTACTCTGTTTTGCGGAAAATGAATATATTACGGCGTTTACAGTTTTTTCTTAATAACGAAAGACGTGTATATTAGTCAAACCTGAAGAATCATATTAAGAATACTGTAAATCTAATTATGAGTTTTGTACGTGTGCGATATTCTGGTGAGTTTGACTGATGGCAGAATGAAGATACATTGGCGATGAGTCCAGAATTCATTTATGGCCTACTTTCTGAAGAAACTAAACTAAAAAAAAATCATGCATTAATTATAACATATAAAATAACTGTACCTTTGCTTTGATAATTTCGGCTACTTCTTTGCTGCCACCCAGTGTCGTTCATATATTTACTGGTTACTTGCTGCTCTGTCGTTTCAGACAGCAGATGCCACTGTCTGAATGTTTTAGACAGATGAGCGTTTTAGGCGAAGTTAAAACCGAATCGCGTTATGCGGTTCCGAGGTCATTCCAAGTGATACCCATCAACAACATGGGATCCTGTTTCGAACGTTTCAGAGGTTTGGCATCCTCACTCCTTAATTTATAGAAATTCGTACACATGTACTATGATAAATAGATCCAGATGAGAGCTTTCCGATTTGTGATACTTATATATCTTGACTGTCCTATATTTTGGTCGGTGTTGCTAAAGAAGCGGTTTTTTCTTACAAGCTGAGCCCGGCGCGCTGCGGCGCATATCGTCGTTTATCAAGAAGCAGAAGGGTATGTCCTTGAATCAACGGACTGATTGGAGAAAGGGTGTTTCCTTAAAATCAGAAAAGTCCATTAAATCAAAGAATCTGTAAAATAACTTCTGTATTAAACCAAGGGTCTGTTAAATAACAAGTGACATTTAGAAATAAAAGGCGAATCTTATTTACATGCAAAGCAATAAGTTTTCCTGTTTATTGCACATGTCATCTGTGAATCACTCAATATGGATGACCGTTTATGTTTTAGGTTCGCTGAAATAGATGCGTCAGACAGTGCATCCATCGTTCCCGGTGCTATACCAGCATTTGAGCTTTGGTATAAGATAACCGAGTCTCCAGCAGACTCTTTCCAGACATTTGTTCCAGATTATCCTTCGCCATTCACGGCATCTTCGGTCACTTGCTTGGGTAAGTAGTAGCTGTTTCGCTGTCATTTCTGAAAGTATTTGCTAGCAGTGATTTCTCAATCTCGATAAGCAGCCACTGCACACTATGGTAGTTTCAGTTTTCTGTATTCCGCACCATGTCGAGACACCTAAGGCCAACGACTCGTCTCACAAAGCCCATTTCAGCCGCATATAG